AACTAAATTCCCACCACTGCCTCAGCCAGTCTTGCACTGAGGGGGTGGGAAATCTAGGGTGAAGGAAGAAAATACGGCTTTCATATCAGGTGAGTTTAGCTCAGGAGTAAGTAATCAGGAGTTTAAGCTTCTTTGCTAAACCTGATATCCTGCTGACAAGTATGAATGACACTAGAGCTTCATGTGTGATGCTAAGAATTCTATTTTAATATAGGTAATTTGATCTTATTCTTGATCTCAAAAATAACTCTCCTTTTTAATGTGGGGAAACATCTAGCCTTGAACAGTTCAGCCTTAGCGTGATAAAGTTGCATATGCAACTGAAGAAGTGTTTCTTTAGAGAGAAGTGTTGTTCTGACTTAATAAAAGGAGGCATTGTAATAACAGACTCTGCCTGTAATACTCACCACTGTGCTGGAAACAGTCTTTAAACAGGAATTAAATCATATATCAAGCTTACAGGTGCCAGTCACGTTCCTTAATGAGATAAATTTTTCAAGTCTGTGAGGATGAGCGATGTAGGAGCTGATATAAAATACAGTCATCAAAGTAAAGAGGTAGTTTTTATGATAAGCTATGCTAATGAGTGAAAAGTAAGGCCTGTTTGCTAGTTCACCATTGTGTTTGATTTTAAATGGGCTCTACTGTGGTACATTCCTGGAAGATACTGTGCAGACCTGCATAACTTTTCTTGTTTTATTTTAAAAGTGAAAATTTTTGCTGGGTAAGTGCAGTATTACCCCCTTTTTTTTTTTTTCTTACCTCTCATCAGGAAAAAGAAAATAATGTCTGAAGTGTAAATGACATATTTCATATCTTGAGGATTTCCTGTATGGAGATGTAAAGAAACTGTAAGGCAGATCAAGGGCTTCTGTTTTCATCACCAGTTGCTTTAATTTAGTACAGAAACCAGACTTAATCTTGTTTTGTTAGAGGTGTGATATTTAAAAACAAACAACAAAAACCAACCAAGCAACAACCTCTGTTAAAGAGATTTATTCTTCAGTAGTTTTCCTAATGACTGACAGACTGTTAGAATTTGCTTTTGGTACCTAAAGTAGCAATTAAACCAAACCTTGTTTAGATAGATTTGTTCCTCTGGGAATCAGTTTAATCTCTGCAACAATTTGCACTGTGAAAGTAGTGGAGCTGGTTCACACCTACAGCAACATAAATGAAATAAAAAATGTGCTCAGTGAAAATTCAACAAAACCAATGATGATATTGTTACCTTTCCCATTCCCACATCCCATGCCTGTTGTGAGAAGATTTTTGGGGCATTTTTTCTCAGAAGTCCAATTAATGGTTTAATATTTTGAAGCAGACATTTTATTTAAAATAGCCGTGTATTTCTTAATTTTGTTCCTTGACCCTACATGAAATTAGGCAAGTATTTTCTAGATTAGCTGTCAAGGCATTGGTGTTCTTAAAAACTTAAAGTCAACTGGAATATCATTTCGTAAGGCCTTAAACCGTGTATTTGTGAAACTTATTGTAACGATTTATTTTGGTTTTTCCAAACTGGTACTATGTTGGGTTTGTAACCCAGTAAATTTTCTGCATTCGTTAACCTGCAAATTCAAGGCATTAGCAAATGTCAAGTATATCGAATAAAACCAAGTGAACAACAAACCCCAAACTTGTTAGCACACTGATTATGGAGATATGACTGATGAAGGTCTCCAGAAGTCATCCAGCTGATATGCTCGCCCTACTGATACACTCTTGGCATACTTGAACTCTTTATCTAGAGAGAGGGTTATATTTTGTTTTTCTCTGCATGTATTGACTAGTAGTAGTTCAAGTATGCACAGGAGAAACAGCAATCATGTTTAATTAGTAAGGTCCTAGAAAAATGACAGCTGATTAGAATTAGAAGTTAGTTATAGAAGGGTGGGAGGGAGGGAGGGTTGACTAGAGTAGGTGAGGGTTTTTGTAATATTCTACATGAAACAATTTGTATTGAACTATCATGTGCTTCTTTCATTACTAGTGATTTAGACTGTACTGGTGCTGCACACCAAAAATATTGCAAAGATTTTGTAAGTCTTGCAAACCTTAACATTTTTATGGAAAGTGCCCATGTCCCTTTTAAATAGCTCCTTGTCGTGGTCAGAAATGCAGCCTATATTGCCCAAAATGTTTTTGTTGTTTTTTTTTTCCCTGGGCTGAAATAAATAAGTATAAACTGGATTGTATTGTCCTTAATACTTTAAGGTTTTTTGCAAGTGATCACTTGTAAATGAGAAAACATGTACTTTTCTCTTTAAAACATTTGTTTTATCGGTCAGGGTAAGTGACAGTGCTGTATATAAGATACCAAAAATCCTGTTTCTTGCTCTTTTACTGACCTCTTCTACAACTCGAGACAAGCAGGTTAACTCTGCCTGCCTCAGTCTCCTCTTTCAGCAGATTAGACTAATCCTTACTTCCTGAGGTTGTTTAGAGGCCTAGTTATTATCTGAGATCTTCAGATGCGAGAAACTAGAGAAAAGTAATGAAGTTTGCTCTACTTAAAACAAAAATATAATTTTTAGGGGCTGCTCAAAGAAGATTATACTTTGTGACCTCTGAAGTTTTTAATCTAAGAACCAGTTTTGTAATCACATTTTTCAGGCTTAATTTCAAGCATGTGAGAATTAATGAAGTCCGTGGAGCTGCATGCACACAGTCAAGAATGTTTCAAAGTGTTTGCAGTTTGGGGCCTGTGATATTTGCAAGTGAAATGCTTTTATGGTTTGAGATTTTTACAAAATCAGTGGTGTTCAAATGTAGCACCTTTTTAACATTTGTCTTTATTCCAGCTTAATACGATAACACATTATCTGCATTAAGTACATCCCTTTCATTTTATAAATAAACATTGCCTGGCAGTAAAAGTATTGGTGTAACATTTTTAAAAAGGAAAGTCATGCTTCTTATCATGTTGTATGTGACTTAAATGACTGTTTCATATTAAAACTAATCTTTCCTTATGTACTGCTTAAATATACCTGTTTTGGGATATCAGTTCAGTACTTTTTATACAATCTTGAATGTGTTCCACATTGGTGACATGTATTTTTGCAGCAACTCTTTTGTTTTGATTTTAAATTAGAGCATGTCTGATGTAATACATGCATTAGTGCTGTGTTGTGTGGCAAAGTTAATGTATGTAATTCAAATTGGAAAAGTTTCCAGACTTTGTCCAGCATTAGCCCTGTGGCCAGGGATTAAATTACTATGTAATACAAATTATTTCATACCATGATGTGTTTTAAGCTACTCTATGAAGTATGTGAAAAATTATTGTTTATGGATTGGTAGCTGGTGTGGTATCTTGCATAGAATGAGGTTTGATAGGTGGTAGCAATTCATGATAATTAAAACTAAGTACCTTTCAGAACACACAGCACTGGTGTGCATTGTCATCTTGTTACCATAACTGTAAGTATGAATTTTTAATATTATCCAATGACAAATGGGTGAATATTTGGTAATCAGCTCATGGGTGTGAAAATTCTATTCTAACACTCTTTACTTGGTTTACAAAACATATAATTTTTTAATCTATTGGATGTGATTAGATATATACAGGAGGGTGTAGAACTGGATGTATTTTCAAGTTATTCTGCAATTGCTAAGTTTTGTCTGAAGCTTTCTATATTAGAATAGACTCTTCCTTAAAATTGGAAACTAAGTGTACTTAGCAGAACTCTTTAAGGCAATATAACTATCCTACACTACATCTTGAGTTATGCACATTCACTTCTTTATATGGAGCTCCTCTGAATTTCTTGCTTTATATATAAAAAAGGGTCCCTTTAGTGGCCTAGTGTTGTGTCTCATCAATTTTGAGGTAATTAATTCTGAATGGTGTTCAGCCCCTTAGAGGTGCTGCCTATAACTTAAAGTATTCAGTGTTGCCCTTAGTTTCCTGGTTCAGAAATGGCTTATCCCAACACCTTGGGAATACCTATTTCTGTATTGTTTGCCATACATGATTAATTTTCCTTTTCATCTTCAAACAAACTGTCTGTCTCAAAATAGTTTTTGATCCTACCCCACCTTTTTACTTGGAGATGTGTGCACTGTATTTCAGGAATTGCTGTACTGGAGACAGTTTGGGATTGGAGTCCTGAGAGATGTCGTGTCTGTTCCTAGACACTCGTCTTCTGCTCTGCAGGATGCTCTAAATCTGAACTTCCATATAACTTAAGGAGGGCAAGCTTATAATATATTTCCTCTTTTTTTTTTTTTTTTTTTTCCTTTCTTGATAGTTTTTTTTCTGAGGTGTGAAATAAGAGAGTTGTTAGGGATTTTTATTTAAAAGATGGCCTTTCCTCCAAGCTTTTTTATGTGGCCTTTAGAGCAAATACTGTGTTCTTCAGGGCCTTCTGACTTGGAATTTTTTTGTCCACATTGTCCTTTCAGTGTTAAAGGTGAGTTGAAAAAGGCAAGTTACCAATCTACTGCCATCCAAACAATGCAAAATATAAGATGATTAAGATTGTTGACATTTAATTTTTTTGTTTGTTTGTTAATAATGATGTGACATTTTTACCTTTCAGAAGAACATATATCAGAATCTGATTCAAGTGTTCTTGGAAAATGTATATGGTAGATTTTGTCTGGCACTGTATGTAACTTTGTTGCTTTCTGTTGTCTGGTTTCAGTTCCTTTTAAAATAAAGATAATTTTTGCGGGGAAGTTGCCTGTTGATTTTTCTGAAGATGATGTAATGCCTAGATTGACTCTTCTACCGTTTTGCCTGGGAAAATGCATTTGGATTAGGTGTAATCCTGCAAGAAACAGTATGAGGTCATACTGATCAGAAAAGACAGTTCCTGCCTCTCTTGGAGAGCCCTGCTGTTCTGTAAAGGTGTTAATCTGAAGTAACTTCAAAGCAGATTAGAATAGGTCTTGCACCTTCAGCCCCATTTCTTTCTTTACAGGATGGGAGGGAAGGCTTGAGCACCATTTGTCTGAATAGATTAATTTTTTAAAAATAACTTTCTGCTCTTGGGAAGAGATTAATCAAGTAATTATTTATTCCAATTTATAAATTTATTACAAAGCTCTTCCTCTTAGTTAAAATGCCAGAACTAACACATACCAAATCACTGCCTTGCCAATACTATTTAAAAGCAACTGTTACAGGTGGTCCCAAGCTACATATGCAAAACATTTTATTGTAATAAACAGAGTCTCATAAAATGTTCCTTCTTTTTGTGAAAGATAGGGAGGGATAAGAGAGAGAATTTAGAAAGGATGGGAGGAAAAAAGGTTAATAATTAAAGATAAGAAAATGTAAGCTATTTAAAGGATTTTTTTCCCCCCATATATTAAAGCCTCTGATGCCATTAGAAGTGAAATAACCCCGGAAAAGATGAATGTGTGTATTAGCAGCTGGAAGGTTCAGAATATTACTAATATTAAGATTTGTGTGGAATGTACATCTCTATCCTTCATAGCACAGGAGATGGGAATTTAGGAATTAGGTTTTTAACTGAATAATTTTTCTTTTCACTATGAAGTTTCTTGCACTGGAAACTTTTCACTACAAACTTCTGACTGATAAGATTAATGCCAACAGAAGAATGGGCCTCTCTTTGCATGTGTGTCATGGTGAGAGCGCAGCCAATTGTCCAGGTAAGCCTGCAATGTGGAGTGTGTGGGACAGAGGAGGTGTTTCTGTAGATGTACATCAATACAAGACTTTTAAGGTTGATTCAAGACCTTGCTGAGTCCCTTTTGTCTCTTTTAGCAGCTAAATCTGCTACTTTGGCATAAAAGTGTGTTAGTGGTATTTGCTGTGTCTTCTGCAAGCTTTGCACTGGAGATCTGGCTTTTAAGTAAATAGACTTTTTGTTGCTGTATTGGAGCTCTTTTGTGTAACTTAAGAAGACCAAATACTGGTAACCAAAACCCTGTCCTGTCTTGTAAAGCATGTATGAATAGTATAGTCCTTCTAGCAGGAATAAATAATAAGCTGCTTCATTTCAGTATATTCTCTGTGATTAAACTAAAAATGACACCTGGGTGACCAAGGCAGAAGACCAGCACTCAAAAAATCTAAGACTTACAGTCCATGAATGAACTTTCCATAACTGAAGGATGTGTTCTGGATGACTACAGCTGCATTCTGGAGTGGTAGGAGATTTTGAGTTACTATTGCATTATAACAATTCTATCCAATGCTGCTATATATTTTGAATACTCTGGGAATGGGGAATTTAATTCACTTCTTGGATTCCAATAGATGCAAGCATTCATCCAGATGATATTGATGTGGGTGAGTGAGGGTGGAGAATAACCCAGAAATCGTATCAGTTACAATGGATTTCTTGCTCTGAAAAAGTTTTAAATATTTGTGATACCTACATTAATATATCTATATCTCTCTCTATATAGAGAGATATACACAGTACTTAAAAGTAACCACTACCATTTAATTGCTTTGGAATATAGGTAATAGAACATAAAAATTAAGTTTTCAGTGATACACATCAGTAATCCTAGCTGATGCGTGCCATGTTAAACTCCATTTTTCTTGGTCATATTTTAAAGAAAAGGGGGAAAACCTAGACTTTTTGGTTCTGGATTTTTCCGAGCAGTTCTAGGTAATGGTATACTTTTGAGGAACTTCCACATACCTGAATTTTTATCCAACTGTGCTTGGCTTGTCTTTCAAGCCTTATTCCTCAGAAGCAGTTACTTTCTATATACTAGACTTTATTTTTGCAGATACAATGTTACTGTTTGTTTGAGGAACGTGGAGCAACAATGTGCAAATTACCTCCTGAGTTTTTGGCATAGACAGTACCGCAGACAACATTGCGAGGCAATAGCATGGAGCTGCCGGTATGACCCAGTTATTTTTAGGGGACATCTGGAAGTTTCAGTGCCAGCACTGCCAGTAGGTTGAGGAAGGTGATCCTGCCTGTGTGCTAAGCCCTGGTGAGGCCACATTGGGAGTACTGTGTGCAGTTCTGGGCTTCTCAGTACAAGAGAGACATGGAGCTCCTGGAGCAGGTCCAGTGGAGGGCAACAAAGTTGGTCAAGGGTCTGGAGAATCTCTCTAAACAGGAAAGCTGAGGGATCTGGGCCTGATCAGCCTCAACAAGAGGCTGTGCATAAATATCTAAAGGGAGGGTGTCAAGAGAACAGAGCCAGGCTGTCAGCCAGTAGAACCAGAGGCAACGGGCAGAAAATGGTACCCTGGAAGTTCAACATAAACATGAGGAAGGACTCCTTTCCTGTGCAGTGACCAAGCACTGGAACAGATTTCTCAGAGAGACTATGGAGTTTCCCTCACTGGAGATATTCCAGAACCATCTGGACACAGTCCTGTGCCATGTGCTCTGGGATGACCCTGCCTGAGCAGGGAGCTCGGACCAGATGACCCACTGAGGTCCCTTCCAGCCTGACTCTGTGTATTGCTAAATCAATCTCTTCTTTTAATATTTTTTTTTTTTACCGGAAATTCTAAACTAATAGCAGTTCGTCTCTTCTCGGAGACGTATTTGGCTAACAGTGGCTGTAAGAGCCGCACTGCGCCCAGGTGTGAGCGATGGCGGCCCGCGCCGTGCCCGGCCCTGCGGGACTCCATGTCCCGGCGTGCGCCGCGCGGGCCGGCCCGGCTGAGGGCAGCGCTGCCGGGGCCGGGGCGGGGCCGCCATCGGCGATGCCGCTGTGGCTGCGGGAGCACCGCTGGCACCAGACCCCCACCGCCGTGTTCCTCTCGCTGCCCCTGCGCGGCGCCCGGGCCACCCCCGCCAACATCTTCTGCTCCGAGCGGTACCTGAAGGTGGGCGGCGCGCCCCGCTCCCGCACGGGCCTTGTGTGGCTGCCCGCGATGTGCCGCGGTACTTCAGAGCTCTGCTGAAGAGCACACGCGCCACACACCATGGCAACGCTCTCGAGCTTATAGTCTTATAGCCTTTATACTCTCCCTCTCTCTGTTAGATGGCCGTCCCGCGACAGATAATGGCTTTACCCCTGCTTGTTCTCTGTGCTAATGCTCTTGCTACTCAACAGGTGTCACCTGCCTCTACTGTCTCATAAATTATACACATCTGCTTATATTATGAATAATAATTCTAATTATGAAGTCCATGGCTTCTGTTGGAGTGCTGAAGAACCAACTTTTTCAATCTCTTTAATAAAGAGGTTGAAATACATTGAAATAATAAAAATATAATCTTGTGAAGACCCACCCTTGAGGGGAAGGAAGCACCTTCCCTGGGCTTCTACAAACCTCCAAACTGGATTCAAAGCACATTAGTTCTGTCAATAGTATGTTTTTCTTGAGATTTACTGTGTGCTTGTGCTGAGTGTTTTGAATATGTGAGAGTTAATTGAAATCAGTAAATATTAGTACAAATTATATTTTTGTAGGTAAGCATCCCTCCCTTTTTATTTGAAGCCATTTTGTATGCTCCTATTGATGACACAAATAGCACAGCAAAGATCGGAAATGGAAACATTTTCTTCACTTTGTATAAAAAAGAACCGGCCATGTGGGATTCCCTGACCCTAGAAAATGGTAAGTTCTCTATTCTGAAAGTTAGATTGCCTGTAAGAAACCCATTCTGAGCCAACGTTTTACAAACTGTAATGTGAAACTCCTGCTGGTAGATATCTGCTCAGTTAAACCTTGTTATTAAAAATAGAAAGTATGTGAGAACAAAGAACATCTACTGAATCTAGCACGTATGAAACAAAACAATGTTTCTTGTAAAACTTATATTTTGTGTGTAAGCAAATCTTGTTTTTTCGGTTTTGGAGATGGGCTTGATAGACACTGCTTTGTGGAATTGGAACCACGTTGCATTTTCCCAGACAAAGTAGCAGAAGGAATCCTGTTTTTATGAATATGATACATACCAGTAGAATTCCAGGCCTAAATGACTAAAATAGTTTTTATTTATTTTTTTAAGCTGACAAGGAAAAACTGCAATATCTAAGAGAGAATGCTGTTCTAAAAGCCCAACAAAAGGCAAAAGAGGAGACAGAAGCAAAAAAAGCTACAAAAGAGGAACACAAAAAATATGCTTTGGAGGCCACAATGAAGGTAGGTTTAGAAGGGGCTCTACAAGACACATACATGTAACAACTGCCAACTAATCTGGCATCTGCTTGGTTAAACGCACTTTAAGAAATATGAAAAGTACTCATTTTTATTATAGTGATGGTTATTTCTTTGCACTTAAAACACATTTATTACCAAATATGAAATTGATACAGAAAAAGTACTTAGAAGTTACCATTTCTATTAGTAATATTAAAGAAAGTTTTTGGTGAGGAGCTCAGATTTTTGGCCATTGAAAGGAGAGTACAGTCATGTAGAAAAACTGTGGTCTTTTGTGGTCTTTGCATCAGTGCAGGCGTTTAGTCATTTAGCACTGTCAAAAATACTGATTTAAAAAAAGAATCTTATTTATTTGTTGCGTTGTTATATTTTATAACAGACTTGCTGTTCATTGTCTTTTTTGTGTTTGCATGTTTGTCATTCTGCTTTTTATGTCTCTTTTAAGATACGTTCTTCAAAATTTTTATGTATGTAAAAATTCTGGTCACTTCATTTGTGTTTAGAAGGATTAGTTAAAAGAATGAGACTTGTAAAGGCTAATCCGAAATGTTTGCTCTCTCAGTCATTTTTAAGCATCTTAGTTAATTCTGCTTCTATGGTCACATTGGTTACACTATGCTTTGGATATGAAACTGGGAAAATAATGGTAGCTTTTACTTAGTCATCTTAGTATTATCAGATGAAACATCTGATCTCAGAGGTTTATTGTTCAAACAGCTAGAAGAAGCAGAAAGAAAAAGAATTGAAGATCTGAAAGAAAAGGAACGGCAGAAGGTCACTGAAGAGTTGGAGTTATGGAAAAACCAGCAAAAAGATGCTGATAAATACAAAAGCGTACAAAAAGAAGGGGAATTACATCAAGAAATAGGGCAATTAAAAGAGAGGAAAAATGAAAAAATGACCAAAACTAGAATTCCTAATGAAGGGACTTCTAAGAGCAGACCCAAACCCACAAAAGGTTGTATGATTTATTCCTCGGTGTTTCTAATTCATCATTTATCTTTGTCTCCACCATACTGAACCTGTTCTATTAGTCTGCAGTTATTTTAAATTATTTTCAGGTACTTTATTGAGCTCAAGCATGTGAGTTCTTAGCACTTGTTTAAGTCTTTGGAAATACAAGAGCAGGTTTTGTTCTAAGCTTTAGAAAAGTAAACCAGAAAGCCTTTCTGAGGGTGTGATGCAGACTTTCTGGGGGTGGAGATCCTGTTACCCTAAGTTTCCTTGCTGCTGCATTTCATAGAAATATAGTCTCCTTTCACTCTCTCTATCCCATGTCTTGGTCCTATGGAGAGCCAATCCAGGGAACTAAAACAACAGAAAATATTTCATTTCTTGTTTGTTTGCTTTTATAGGTTAGTTTTAACTCCTGTGGTTGTCAGAGCATCATACAAGTGACAGAAATAGAGGTGTAAGAGGAGTTTAAGTTCATTTGTGACAGATGCTCTATCATTCCATTTATTTACTGGCTACATTAACAAGAAACATTGTTTGAACCTTCCCTTCAAAAGAACAAGTCTAAACCTTTCTCAGGTTATTAGAGGTTTAATCCTAATGTGTTGCATTCCTAAATTAGGTGTACTTTGGACTTCGGTAGAAAACCAGAAAATTCTCTTTTCCTTGATTTTTTTTTCATTTCCAGTACTCCAATTCTTTTCATAGGTCATGCTTCCTGTAGTATATTTTCACCAAATGTAAAGGAAGAACAGTTACCAGCTCCTCGATCTGCTGCTACAATTAAAGTCAACTTTACCCCACGAGTTTTTCCTACAGCTCTGCGAGAATCTCGCGTCGCAGAAGAGGAGGAGGTAAAGTAGTGAATTGTTTATTGTGTATTCAGTAAGTTGACAAAAATGGTAGCTGTGCCAAGGAATGTAACCTGCGCAATATATCTTCCAAGGAAGGCAGTTGCATTTAAATTAAGATATAAAGAAACAAACAAGTAAACCAAAAAGTATTAGTGATGCAGTAACTTGACTTTTCGTGGTAATAAAATAATTGGGAAACTTTGAACTTTTTCATATCTGACATTATTAAATATTTTTCTCTGTCCAAAATACGTGGCAAATAGAGTTCTTTTGATAGTAGTGAGTGAAGAGATAAAATTCATTTTTGGATTTGAATTTTTCCTTCAGAAATAATGCTTGCCCATTCTGTACTTACAGTGGCTACATAAACAAGCAGAAGCTCGAAGAACAATAAGTGCTGATTTATCTGAGCTGGAAGATTTAAAAGAAGAGGAGAAGAATCCAGATTGGTTAAAGGACAAAGGAAAGTAAGTTAGATTCCACTTGAAGATATATTGAAACTTAATTAATTATTATGGTGTTTGTATACTGTTAGTTTTGATATTTTCTATATATCCTAAACAGAGATGGTGAATGTCTATAGAGTAGTCATAGAAGTCATAATAGAGATTTTATTGGCAGCTTATGGGGTTTGAATCTGATAAAGTTGTGAGACGCAACTGTTGAAGCCCACAATGAACAAAATCATTGTAAACACATCATTCTTCTTTGAAGGCAGTTGAGGCAGTGCACTATTATATCTAGGTGGATTTCCTTTCATTTGAACTCTTTAGGGAGAGGTGAAACATCTGTCTAAAACAAACTGCAGGAATTTTATAAAACTGCTGGTTTATTTATATAGCTGTGTTATACAGAAAGGTTTGATTAGGCAATCAGATACACAAAGCTTTCAAAACTAGTCCTGTGTCTGCAAAACTGTGTCCACCTCTTACAGTTCTTTGCTGCTTGGAAGCAGTGACTTTTTAGTGTGTGTCTATAAGTTGTATTGTCTGCATCAAGTTGGACTGAACTTCAACTGTGATGTTCTCAGAAAAGGCTATAAATGTGCATTTCCAAGGAAAAGATGCTAAAACTTCAAATATTTGCAAATCAATTGTTAGTAATAAGTAGGTGTATATTTTGTGTTCATCACCTTCTTTAAAGTGCACGTTTCACTTTGTTTAACACTTAGCAAAATGTTTGCAATGGGAAACTATCTGGCAGCTGTAAATGCCTATAACCTCGCAGTGAGGCTGAACAACAAGCTTCCCCTGCTGTACCTGAATCGTGCTGCCTGCCACCTTAAACTGAGGAATTTACACAAAGCTATTGAAGATTCCTCTAAGGTATAAAAAGTACTGTCATCTTATGCATTATTGTGGTTTATTACTGTGATGTTTCTGTTTTAAGTGGATCTGTAAATACATATTAGTGCGATTCGGAATTTTAAAATTCAAACTTGATATAATGAAGCCATACTGGAATATTGAAATTTGATAGTGATTAATGAAGTTTCAGAAATTTAAAACAAAACAACAATTAAAAAACTCGAAACCATGCTTCTACACATTTGGGACAAATGGCCATATGTTGACTAGCATGTGTTTCTTTACAGATAAAAATATATACACTTGAAAAGCAATATATACACTTGAAAAAACCCTCAACTTGGAGCAGAAAAAAACCACCAAAACAAAATATACACAGATACCGTTTCTGTTACACTGTGGTGTGCTTCATTTGTTGGAAGGAAAAATAAAGGTGTGGTGGCGATGAGCAGGATACCTTCAAAAAACCCCAACAAACCAGGCATTTTGAAAGAAGGGCTGTATCACCTAGATGTTTTAGCAGCCATTATTTGTGCAATGGGAGGAGTGATCTCAATTGCACCTGAATAATGTGGAGGAATTTTTGCCAGAATTATTATTTTTTGAACTAATAAGTACTTGAATCTTGGTTGTTTGTTGTTTTTTTTTCCCTAGTAACTACTACTAAAACACACGTGCTTTTTTAGGGCTGTCTTTTTTTTTTTTTTTTAAATAACATGGTATGTAATATTGTGTATGAAAACAGAACATTATTTGACTGTAATAAACATTTAACATAGTATTTGTCAGTTTTTAGCCATGGCAGTGTAACTGTAGTTAGCAAACTGGGGTGATGGATACAAATCTTAATGAATAGATTCACAAGCTGTATAGTTTGAATTTGAACAGTTATTTCTATTTCTATTTGAATAGTTATTATGTTACTGTATAATAATAGTAATTAGGTGAGAGAAGTGTGTGTAAACTAGAAAAGCCCTCAAATTATGGCAAATATTCTTATAAATACTTTGGGTGTTCTCATTTCTAAAGGCACTAGAACTGTTGACACCACCTGTTCCTGATAACGAGGGCGCTCGAGTGAAAGCCTATGTGAGACGTGGAACAGCCTTCTGTCAGCTGGAATTATATACTGAAGGTGAGGCCTTGATTTTATGGAAGTGTGCACATGAATTTAGAGTGACAAGCAAGTAATTCTGTTTAGTTCAATGGGACTGCTCACACCTTTATGTTTTCAGGAATGACTTTGAAGGAGCCCTATACAATCTGTTATGAACCTCGATACCACATTCCTTATTTTTTTTTTAATTTTGCTGGCTGATTGCAGTTCCACTTGAAAAATCTTGAAAAAATACCTGAGTTAACAGTGTCCCTACTGAGTTCTTCAAGAGTATCAAGTTAGTTTTGTAAAGCCAATTTCCGAGTGAAAACTGATAATAGAAACTGAAGGAGATTTAAAATGACAGTGTTCAAGTGCTAAGCTTTGGCCATTCTTTACTTTCTTCTATCTATGAATCACTTTGTCATTCCCTTACAGCTTCATTTGCACTTGGAAACCTTGTGAAAAAGACAGTTAAATAAGATTTTACTTCCTGTGCTCATTATTTGCTAACCCCACCCTCAAGCTCTAGTATTCACAGTTCATGTCTTCTTTTCCTTACTTCCACATATTAATTTCTGTCATTCATTTTTCCTCTCTTCTGCAGAACACTCCTGTCATGCACAGACATATATATATATTGGTATATATATGTAAATGAAGAGACTCTGCTTTCATGTTTGAAACCCTGAAAAGTTTATGTAGTAGAGTGTTTCCACTAAAATGTTTGTAAAATAATATAAACAAAATATAAGTTTATTTACTGACAAAAGGTAAATCTGGTGTCATTCTGATTCCATCATCTTAAGAGTAAAACTCAAAATCAATACTTCATGCTTATGACTAGGGAACAGTTATTTCCAGGTGGTTGCTAAAGAGGATGCTCTTACATTATTGATTGACATTCTTATTAATGTATCTATATTAGGTCTCCAGGATTATGAAGCAGCTCTCAAGATTGATCCTAAAAATAAAAATATAGAAAAAGATGCTGAGAAGATTCGACACCTAATTCAAGGAACAATGCAAGGTTCTTAATTCAAATAAACATGAAAAAAAGAAACTCTTTGGCAGAGATGCCTTTTGAGAACATCAGAAGGAATCTTATTTCTTTTCAGTATGTGTTAACTAAATATTTTTTGTGCTTCACTCAAAACACCTACAGAATTGGTAATGGATTGGACATATTAATTATTTTTTTTTAAAGTATAGTATTATAACAACCATAATTAGATATATTTTATCTCATTTTGATACAGTGGTCATATTTTTGCTTTTTGTTAGCATTTGTATTACCCTGAAAATCTGAAACACTGGGTTTGAAGCTGTTCCATTATGTTAAGGGTTCTTTCCAAGCTGTGACCATTTCAACTACACTTCTTTCAGTAGCAGTTTTAGCAGACTTCTGTTTCCTGAATACCATTTATGACTGATTTCTGTCTTTATAATAAAATATTTTTTATGCATATATATATATTATTTTGTGCAAATTCTGTACTTTTGGAACAGGGAGAAGGTTGCTTCCAGCTGCTTTAGTTAGAGCCTTGAGAGGAGTGCTGAGGTGAGTCAGAAATGTCTGGTGTAGTTGCTGTCTGTGCTTTCCTACAGATACCTATTGCATTGCTGGAAGGGGCTGCAAATACTCTTTTATAGCAGCTGGAAGGAGGGCAGTGCAGGAGCTTTAGTGCCTCAGTTGAGTGTATTGCTATACTTGCCCAAATATGCCTATTTTATATAATTACTGTGGGGAAGTGAGGGCTAAGGAGGAGACACACAGGCAATGGGAGAAAGAAAATGCAAAGGAGCAAGTGCTGGTTGTAAGTTCACCATTTTTTTCCCCTTAAAAGGGAAGCAGATGTGCTTGGTGGCATGAACAGTATCTGCCTGTTTCATCTGATCATGTTGGGAGCAAATGCATGTTAAACCTGTAACTTCAACACCTGAGCTGATGGTGTGTTCACCATATCTGAGCCATGTACATTATGTTGGTATTTAATCTCCTCAGATGTAAGAATACAGAGACCGACTTTTAAAACCAGAAAATACTTAAGTTAGAACAAGTAAACCTTCAGGTCAATGTCTCTTGCACCTAACTCTTTCTAAAGTTAGAGTTCCACATTTATGAGACCAGTTGCAGAGTTTTATTTCTGTGGGTTTAGGTCTGATTCAGAGAACTGCATCATCAAATAGGCTCCATCCTTTTTGATACATCTTATTCAACCCATCTTATTCAGCATTTCAAGTAACAGGATAAAGCATTTCAAATTTGTTGAGTGTTTGTGGTCAGAGCAAATATTGCTCAAGATGTGTATTGAAATACATGCATGGTGGAGAGTGAGGAACTTAACACTTTGACCTTATTTAGTAAACTGTGGACAGTGATAATTTGACTTATGATGACTATGGAGGATAATACAATTTGGACTTTGCATTGATTTCTGCATTAGTGATAATCTTGAGCATAGAAGATAACATAAGTGGCAGAAATAATTAGTATGGGTAATAAATATAGGAATGAGATTAAGAATATAGTGAAGCTTTGTGGATGACGTGTTTTAGTTTCGACTTTTTCTAATATACAGAAATATGAAAAATAGAGGCCTAAAGAAACATCCAAGTGACTGTACTTACTCATGTTCATGTGCATGAATTTTTATTTTTATTCTTTTCCCCTGTAGGGAGTGAGTTAACATATGACAGGTACTTCTTAGTCTGTTTATGGAAAGTGCTCTAGTGCTGTATTAATGAGCGTGTGGTAAAACTGCACCAAGGAACCTCCCTTAGTGTTGCTGAGCAAGCCATTTACAACCCGCTGTTCTTCAGAGGTGCCATGAATCTTTTTTGTTTGTTTCTCAGTCATGTAAGATATGAAGAAAACGTTTAAGCTGCTAGCTTAGATAAACCTCGAGTAAGAAATTCTGACTTTATTACTGAGGCCTGTTGTTGTCTCCCATATATGTTTTGTTCCAGTATTAGGGCACTGTTGGGACCTCAGTCTCTGGGATTTCGCATCTGCTCTGTGCTGTGCCTGTTGATGAGATGGGGTCTAGGTGTTTGGTGGGGGTAGGCAGCCTTACCCCCAGTCTGAGTGGCTCTCAGGACAGGACAGCTTCTCCTGGAGCAGCATGGCCTGTGCTTCTGGGAGACTTTCCCAATTAGTTAATTCCTAGTCACCAGTTTTTCCACCTGAGACTAGAAGAATCACATATTTGTGGTCCACATAAGGCACTTTTTTTTTGGGGGGGGGGGCGGGGGCACGTTTTGGAGTGTTCTTTGGGGCTTTTTGTTGGTTGATTGTTTTGTTTGTTTTTTGGGATTTGTTTTGCCATGCTTGTTTGTTTGTTTGTTTTTTTTTTTTTTTGGGGGGGGGGGGGGGGGCGGCGTGTGTGTTTGCGTGACTTGTTTGTTTTTTCCCTTTCCCTAAGTATAAGCGTTACTGGCAGAGTCCCCTCAGCGCCGGGCTGTCCCTGTGCCCGGTTATCCCCTGATTCCACCAGCACAACGCCCCCGCCGTGAAGGTGCCTCTGAGCGACCTCCCCCTGTCACAAACGCGGCCGGTGCCGCTCGGCCCGAGCTCGGCGGCGCGGCGTTGCCATGGCGGTGACCGGGGCGGGCCGGGCGCTGTGCTCCGTGGGACGCTGTTTCCCGGGTCGCTCTGTGGGCACCGCGGTTGCCGGGGCTCTGCGCTCGCCGAGCTCCCCGGGCGCTGTGGCCGCCGGGCCGCGGGGGGCGCGGGCCGCGCTCTCCCGGGTGCCGCGGGCGCCGCCCCGCGCGCAGGCGCCGGCCCGGGCGGGCCGGGTTGTTTGTGACGGCGTCAGCGGCGGCCGCGGCCCCTCGTCCGTGCCGGGCCCCGCGGGGGCCGCGCTCAGGTAGGCGGCGGGTCTGGCCCGCAGGGGGGGCCGCGAGGAGCTCCGGGGGGCTGCCGTGGGCAGGGGCTGCCCGGAGCGGGGCACAGCCCGGGGCCGGGGCAGCCGTTGGTGCTGCGGGGAGCGGGTGAGCGGGGCCGTGCGGGGCGGCCGCGCTGCTGTGCGGGGCCGGGCGGGGGTCACTGCGCGGGGGTCACCGCCGTGCTGGCCCCGGCCCCTGCCCTGGGCGCTGGCGTTCGCCAACTTCCTTCCCTCTCATCCTGAGCCGCTGCCGCCCCGGCTGATGCAAGGTGCTGTGTTTCATAAACAGCGGCGCTGTGTCTTTAACCGCGCTGGCCCCGCGCCGCGCTCTGGTTCAGGTGCAACAGGAGCACCTGTGCGAGAGCAGCCGTGGGTACTGAGCAGGGAATGCCCGGCGCTGGCGTGGCCTGGCTTTCAGAAGCCACACTGGTCTTGCTGAAAATCATAGCCTGTATGGGTTGCTAAATATATTCCTAGAGAAGAATGTTACTGTGGGGGAAAAAAAATGCGACTTAGCAGAAATAATAAACTTGCAGGAGAACCTTGAAGAGTAATGCCTCTAAACCTGGTTTTATTTCTGTTGTGTAACAAAGAAGCTATTGTGGAAGAGAACTGTGAGTTTTTACTTGCAGTGACAGCACAGCAAACTCCACAGAACACATTCACATTCCTGTTGGTGCCTGTTACTCATCTTTGTCAATGCTTATTGAAGGTTGTTTTTTTTGCATCTAGGAAATCCTCTTTTTTTAAATGCTAGAACTTAAGGGTTTGTTTGGATTGGAGTGGTTATTCTTTCTGAGTCTGGTATTTATTCTGCTTCACAGTGGATAAATAGGATGTGGTATCTCATGTTTATTTTTATATAGATAACTGGGATAACTGGTGTTAGGTTAGCAACAATACATATGGCTGTAAGCTTTCACACCTTATGCTTCTGGTTTGCATTTCACTAAGTTAGGAAAATAGTTCACACTTCTGAATCCCTGCCCCTCCAAATACGTTAAAGTTGAACTCTGAATATAATGGATATTTATTTTGACTAGATAGAAATAAAAAAGGTGGTGGCAGTAGTGGCAACGAAGATATCTAGTGAGAATACAAAACCAGTGAAACTGTGTGTTGGGGGTGTGGGTTTTGTTTTTTCTTTTTTTCCCCTAAGTCTTTCCTTCTGGCTTAGCCTGACCTACAGGAGATGTGTGACACTACTGTATCCTCGAGTTATCCCTGCTGTTATTGGACTGGAACCCATTAATGTCACCTGGATTCGTTAGGAAGTTTGCAGGCTTTATGTCTGTTTAATTCCTTAGTAGCTCAAAGCTACTTTTTCCAAATAACTTGCATTCAGGAAGTGCCAGCCATATCCAGCACCTTTAGGCTGGTAGGAAAAGCATACTGGTTCTTACTGGATCTTTGTCATTTGGTGGAGAATAAGGCTGGTGAAGTTTTTGTGAGTGGATCAGTTTAGCCATTCGGTTCAGATTGGTCTTCTGTATTTCAGTTTACTTAAGGGACTGCATTTGACCTCAGATTTAGTTATGACTATGTGTGTTATTAACCTCTTACAGAAATAAGCTGTTTAGCTGATGATTGAGGTTCAGGAACACCATACCTAGGTAATTTTTTTATTAAAGTTTTTTAGGCTGTTTTCATCTTTTAGAGCTAACTAATTATTAAAATGCCTTACTTTTGATAACTGTTTTACACATGTATGTTTAGTGAATGTACTTGTAGGAATGCATTGACCCTAGAGCTGCCCTTCAGTCTGATGCCAAGCTATCTATGTATCATCGTTTGGCTAAATTTAGCAATTCTACCCGCAAACCTCAGTGTTTTTGTAATTATTCCTTTATTCCTTTTTTATTCCATTATTTTTCTTGATACTAAAAACTTTTCTATTTTGGACGCTGATCACCTGTATGCAGTTACACACTATTAGTATAATATTCTGGTTGAATACAAGATAAATAACTTTTAACTCAAAGTCATGTATCAAAGTGAGCAAGTAATAGAAAATAATGATTGTTTGTCTGCTTTTTTTACTATTTTTTGATGATGTCAGTACCCACACAGTTAGGTCCTGAAACTTGTGTTTGGGAAGGGAAGATGGATGTTTACATGTGCATTCAGTAGAACTGAGTTTATGCAGTGCTCAGTTACCTGCCAGTCTGTGCTGTGGATGGGGAGGGAGAGCAGGATGGCATTTGTGTTAACTTAGCCAGGGCCCAGGAGGAAATGCTGCAGTAGCTGAAGGAAGACAGATGTTACAAAGTCCAGCACAGAGTCCGCTGTTAAAATCTACCCTTTCAACATCTGCAGATGCACTTGTATCAGAAACTGTACTGGTGACCTGAAGTTATCCTTTAAGAGTTCTCTTCACTTTTTGCAGCATAGCCAGTGATGTTTCTGACAGGTGATGAGTTCTGGGGCTGGTAATTACCTTCCTCTGAAAGGAATGCTGCTGCTGCTGGATGCCTGGTCAAATTGACAATAATTAATGACAGCAAGCAGATGTCATTGTCACTCTGGAACACAGTCTTTGCCACTTGGGCATTTGTTATTTTCAAGATTGAAGAAGTATGATTT